CTTCTAGATACTACTATAATACAAAATGCATACATTTACTATTTCTATTTGGTGGGTTAAAAAAAACACAGGGATCAAACAACATGGAGGCAAGTAAATACTGACTGAATTTATGTTTTTGTGCACTAACCCTTCAGTCACTATTTTACTGTGTAGTTAATACTAAACTTAAGGTAGTTTGCGTTCACCGTGTCAAGTTCAACTTGGAGGGCCATTGTCCTGCAGAGTTTTTCCTACCCTAATTGTACACCTTAACAATCTATTTAAACCAATTAATAACTAACTGAAAACGACTGACAGGGGTGTTGGAACTGAACCCTGCAGGGCAGTAACCCTCCATGACCTGCCTTGAATATCCCTGCACGTGCTCTGTATGCATTTATAAGTCACGTAATACGCAATAATAAAACTATTGTTTGAAAGTGTTTTTGTACATTACACCACACATATTCACAAAATATTAATCTCTTAATAAATATTTAATTTATGAATGTTATCACTATCTCAAAGCTATAACTAAATATCTAGAAGTCTATAATATACTGTGAATGCCTAGAGATTGTTTGTTTTATATACATAGTATTGTGCAAAAATCTTAGGCCACCATTTGATATTGTGGTAGCAATGGTATAATGACCATATGTGGCAAGAATTTAGTGTGACCTCCTTTACACTTGAGCAACAGAAGGAACCTGGCTTTCTCAAACTCAAATGGAAAAGGACTGGAAGCCCAAGAAAACTTCTGATTAGAAGTAATGTGATAAGCCTCACAGAGTTTCTTGTTTGACACTTTCTTACTGATGTTTGCCTAAAGAAGCCATTTTGTACATTTTTTTAATTTTTTTATTTGTGTTCATAATTACTTGGTTTTCTGTTTTTATCTTAATAAAGAGAGCAAAATATGGATGGTCATTAAAGCATTGCTAAATCAACAAAGCTGGTTGTGCACAGTACTGTACGCATATTATATATATATATATATATATATATATATATGTATATATTCAATTTAATTCTATTTGAAAATATGTTTCTTCTTATTACACAAACCCAAATGTGCAAATGATCAGAAGATGCTTTTATCTTATTTTTTTGCCAGAATTTCAAGGAGGGAAAGGAATCTTTCATCCCTTTCCTTTTGGTTTTTTTTTTTTTTTTTTTTTTTTTTTTTTTACAAATGCTGCCATCTCTGCAGCAAATGAACAGAAATCAAGAATCAGAAAAGTGCTGCAATAACTGTTTGAAATTACAATAATTGAAATAAACTACAACTTGAGATTTAAACAGATGTTTTATTCATTTCTGTAGTATACTCACTCAAAGCCTTTGATAAGTAAACTTCTGATTAGAAGTAATGTGATAAGCCTCACAGAGTTTCTTGTTTGACACTTTCTTACTGATGTTTGCCTAAAGAAGCCATTTTGTACATTTTTTTAATTTTTTTATTTGTGTTCATAATTACTTGGTTTTCTGTTTTTATCTTAATAAAGAGAGCAAAATATGGATGGTCATTAAAGCATTGCTAAATCAACAAAGCTGGTTGTGCACAGTACTGTACGCATATTATATATATATATATATATATATATATATATGTATATATTCAATTTAATTCTATTTGAAAATATGTTTCTTATTACACAAACCCAAATGTGCAAATGATCAGAAAATGCTTTTGTCTTATTTTTTTGCCAGAATTTCAAGGAGGGAAAGGAATCTTTCATCCCTTTCCTTTGTCTCCCTCTCTCTCCTTTCCTCTCTCTCAGTTCCCGTTGCCATCTCTCTTCTCTTGCTTCTCTTTCTTGTCTTTCCTCTCTCACTTGTCTCTCTCGTTCTCTCCGTTTCCCTCTCCTCCATCTCTCCGACTATGTCCTCCAGGTGTTTTGGCCTTTTCCGTGTAGCCCTTGCTGGCTCTGGGCTCACTGAGGATGAAGAACTCACAGCAACATCTGGGCCAGATGAGGATTTATTTGTTCTTATTTTATTATTTACTATTTACTTGTCATTTTTAGTTCAAATAAATTCAATTCTGAGTGCACCTGATTCTTGGGTGGGGAGGGGAGGGGAGGGGGCGTGGTCCATGAGAAATAGTCCTGCCACCACAGCTGGAAAAAATCCTAGAGGAAACACTGCATACATTTAATACAATTAGAAAAATGCCATTACAAAGGTAAAAAGAAAATAACCCTGAAATCACTTTAAGGAGTCAAATGTCACCTCGTATTAGGAAGGCTAATTTTTGATCAGAATTTTTTATTATTGATCAGAAGGTGCTCCTACATTTTTTTAATTAGGAGGACAAGCGCTCCTAATTACAAGAAGAAAAAAAATGCACTTACACTGTGTGTGTGACAGGTATGGCTGTGGAATTGGGTTTGGCTGAGGACAAATTTTCAGTCAAAATATTTTTTTTTGCTTTAATCCCTGGACATGTTGTTAGCCACTCTGCCTCAGGCCTTGACCTGGATTATCTCCATTTCATTTGCACAGATGAACTAATACCTATTGATGCACTAGAAGAACAAAATGTTATCCCCGATTGTATTGTTAATGCTCTTCGAGAGCTCTGTACATTGGTGAGAGGACAGGTTGAAAATGAAACGCTTCAAATTGAGCTGGAGGCAGTTGCAGGAGCTATGGGACGACCTAAATTCATAATAGAAAAAGAGAAGCTCAGGTCTTTACTAGACATTCAGCTGCCCATTCCTTGCATAGCTAAACTCTTAGGAGTTAGTGTAAGAACAGTTTTTCGTAGGATGAGGGAGTTTTAGTTGTCTGTGTCAGACTCATACAGTACACTGAGTGACCAGGAGCTTGATATGTTAGTGTCCAATATCAAGTCTGAAATGCCTCATGCAGGATATAGATTAGAGGACATATCCTATATATAGAGGATATAGATGCTCAAAGTAGATGCAGTTGGTGTTTTTACCCGTATGACACAGGTAGGCTGTATAGTAAGGAGAAAATACTGTTAGGGCACTTCTCAGTCTAGTGCATGTGGATACAAACCACAAACTGATGAGGTTGGTTTCTAACAAGGTTTGAAAATTGCACATTACCAAAATTGCAAAACAATTCTTTTTAAAAAAAAATTGTTTTCTTTCAATTGGATACAACCTTGTTATTTTTGGGGGCATTGATGGCTTTTCCAGAAAGGTAATTAGATGTGTTTATTAGAGATCGGTATCAGATCGGTATCAGCCGATAATCACATTTTATGACTCGATCGGTACTCACTACACTTGGCCGATCTCACGAACCGATCACAATTTGATGATGTCAACGCGTGACAACGTACATGATGCGTGGGGACATAAATTATGTGGCACCACAGTCATGTCATTGCCGGTGTGGAAATGCTACGACGTTTCGAGAAACAATGAAAAATTAGCTATTTGTCGTGTATGTTTTGCATGATGATATGATGAATGGATGGTTCATTTTTAACAGCAGATTCAGTGACGTTAGAGCTGATCTGCGCACCTCACTGCACGCGTCTGCGGCGCGTTACGGCTCCACGGGAACCGGAGTTGATCGCGGCCGCTCTAATGCTTGTGTTTATACCGGCCAGCCGCGGCAAGTTTCTGAAGCGGCTCTCCGCGCTGCTTGGCTAAAGAAAAATATTTTGTGAGTTGTCACAGCATGGAGGACGGAACAAAACCTCATCGGAGCCATAAGGGGTAACGGTAACATTATACGCTGATCGTGGACTGCTTTTAAATTAACGTTTATTTATAAAACAAAATATCTTCTTGGGCCATATTAGCCTACTCAATAGCATTAATACAGGCTTTACTCCTTTCAAACTTTATCTAGAATGTCACCATTTCTGTCACTGCAACTTCCCGATCAGGCGAACGAACACACACACGAAACCGTCTGCCTCATGAAAAAAATGTATTTAAAAAAAAAAAATGTAGTTAATATTTGCTTCATTTATGATTTATTTTACCCACCCCGCGCCGACCCACCCGCAAATGATCAGAATGCAATTTTTATTACCCGACCCCTGGATATAGGAAAAGCAAAATATGTTTGCTGCGTAAATCAGACGGACTTATTGAAAATGCAAATTAATTCTCTGCCAGCAGGAGCGGGAGAAACAGAGGTTTCCCCAGTAACGGCTTTACACAAAGCAGCACTCAGCTCACAAACGCTGCTTTATCAGGCATATAACATGCAAGATGAAATGAAAATGTCATCGAAATTTTTCTAGATAGTCTAATACCGCAAGATAGTCTTCCTTCAGAAATACAGTGATATAAAAACACCCGCACCTCGTTTTGATTTTTAAACGTGCAGTACGTGCTCATGTTTATTCAACGAAGCCTTTTGGAAAATCCGTCAGTTTTGATATTGTGGCGAGCGCCACAAATAAATAAATGTATGGGAAACACATCCCACAGCACAACCACCTGAGCCCAACTTCAGTCTACTCATCACCTTAACTTTAACTGCGTTTGTAGCCGGAGCCATAGCCAGACTGATAAACAAACACAGACTGGAAGTTAACTTCGGGCCAGGCGCGTGCACCCGATGAAACCGTCTATATAAAGCTTGAAGCATCAGAATTAGCATCGGTATCGGCCGATCACCATGACAAGAAATCGGTACTCAGTATCGGCTGCAAAAATCCTGATCGGAGCATCCCTAACTGCCAGTAATAATTGCTAATAACTGAGCAGAATCACCATATTATAATGATTTTTGAAGGGTCATGTGACACCAGAGGCTGGAGTAATGAGTATTTAAAAATAACAGCTTATTAGTGTAATATTTAAGAGTATTACCGTTTCTGTTATATTTTTCATAAATAATTTTATATATTCGCAAATAAATGGAGTGAGCATTAGAGACTTCTTTCAACAACATTTCAACTCAGTCATTCCAAGCTTGACTGGTAGTGTGTAAACATGCACACACACATGTTAGCACACAAACAGTTTGATGACATGTTGTTAGTAGTTGTAGGTTTGACAGTTTCAGTGATTCTTACCATTCTCTGCATAAACCCTCTGTCTGATAATCTTTGTTCCAGCCTATCTAGGTCTGCAGTAGATGCTAGAGGAAAGACACACCCTCTTCCTCTTCAGCCATCTGCATTTGGGGTACAACACGCCTGTTCCCCACTAGAGACTGGACCAATGAAGTCAGATGGTTGATCTTCATGTCTATTTTCTCTCGTGTTTCCAGAATTGCCCTTTCTACAGCTGCAATACAGAAGATAATTTAATTTGGTATGTAGCTTTGATGAATGAAATGATGCATTTTGCAACTTATTTAAATTAATAAATAACGTACTTATTCAGTGTTCTTCCTTGGTGGTCACCTGAGGGTCTCAGGACAGAAAAGGTTTGCTCTACGGATTGAACACAAAATATTATGTTATTCAGTTTTAGATTGTGTGAAGGGCTGGGAGTTAGTGTTTTCTCTTCCTTGTTCTAATTAATGTTCTTGTACCTTGTGTGTCAGGTGGATGAGCTCTCCAGCCGTCTCCATGATGGAGCTGAGAAAGATGAAGTGGGTAAGATTTGCTTGTTACCAAAACAAATAAATACACACTAAAATTAAAACCAAATTTCAGAAAAGCATAAAACATCTTCACTTCTTATAATAACTGTAATAAGAGTTTGGTTCATTTATTATTACATTGGCATTACCAAAAATCTATATTGGTATTCTGTTGACAGCATGAGGACTCTGATGTGAATTTCACAATGGGGATGTTTGCTGTAGTCCAAACCTTAGTGTGATTTGTTCTTGTGCCCAGTTGCATGAAAGCCCTAAAGTTAAGAAAATATTTGTCTTGTGTAGCCAGGCCTTCAGGCCAATAGTATGTTCCTGCACAACCGGAGGCTGCAGTTTCAGGACCGCAGCGCTAGGACCCTGGTGGTTTAGTTTGTAGTAATGTTTGTACATAGTATCAAGATATTAATCTCAGTAGTATTTCTTTTTAAATGTGATTTTTGATTCAAAATGCATCAGAGGTTAATTACTAAGTGTGCTTTGAGTCACAATTTTAAATTTAAACATGAATTTACACAAAATATAAATGAAAAATGTATATCAATCTTTAAACAACTTTAAAAGTGGAGTACCTTAAAAGTCTTAGTTTCTTGAATTATACTGTATATTGATTAACCTCCTTAAGTTTAACTAATTAGATCATTATCAGGTAAAATAAAGATGGAATCGGCATATGCAGTCACTAAATTACAGCCAGATATTTTAAAGGTTGTAGAGAGGCAAGACAAGACTCAAGAATGATTCAAGAATGTATATTTATATCTATATATATATGTCATTTTTGCAATAACAATACAACAGCACCAAAAAGACCCCTTTTCCATCAGTTGCTGCAGGCTTCGGCCTGAATGGCTGTAGGCTTCAGCTCTTGAGAGAGAGAGAGAATCTTTCTATTAAATTCTTCCACTTCACTGAAATAGTTATCAGAGAACAATCACTGTTGTGTTAACAGAAATATCAGTAGCAAAAGGGTGCAATGGGCATTGTGCAAAAATAATTCATATTCTACTCTGACCTGTAATGATAATCTGGACCAGAAAAGAAGACCTGCTCAGCCTCCTGCAAGGAGAAATTCCAGAGGACAGCCAGTGCATATATGATGGCCTATGAAAAACATTAATATAAATATACTGTTATAGCACTACTGAACAGCAAGCCATTAAACATGGGTCCATACACGTAGCACCAGCATGCAGTTTATACAGTAGATTTTGCAGAAGTGCAGGAGCAGGACACACACAAACACATTACATGGTCCGGCATACCTCTGGAAAAAGAACATCACAGATGAACTGCACTTCATCTGTGTAGCTCAATTGTGTTGGTATCCTATCCAGCACTCCTCTCAGATAAGTAAACAAGATGTCCTGCTGTTCCTCACTGTCGAGGTAGACAGGCACCCGGGAAGAGGTTACCTTATGCAACCACTTAGAGGGCTTCCCGTTGAGTACACCCTATGGGCAAACCATGGTACAAAAACAGTTATTTTTAAGAAATTTATACATTTAAGATAAAGATACAATAATTTGCAACATAGTTAAAAAATACAATAGTACCACCAAATGCTCCTCAGATCCCTGTAACTTTACTATAAAGTCCACCAGTCTCTTTTCTTCTGTGGTGCGGTCATCGACAGCCTCAATGTGGACTGGGACTTTCTCAGAGACAGCACTCTGTCTTGGCACTCTGTAGACAGGCTGAAGAGTTCCTTGGACCAAGCTTCTGGCCTCATCAGTCCAGAAGGCAAACCGCTGACCATGCCTTTCAAACATTAAGAAGATTAATCTAAAGTACCGCATAGGCAAAAGCTAAGGTATTTGGTGCACAAGTGACATACACAAATGTCTGATTGACTGGAAGGTGTGGTTTAAAACGGTTTAAAGCACAGGTAGTTCCAGTCTGTTTGTTCACCAAAATGAATGCACTACCTATAAACAATTGTGACCATGGTACCATATAGTTGCAGCTGCATACAGTGTGAGACAGCTATTGAAAACATTTCCTATTTACCTTACTTAGCTAAATGAATGATGGCTGACAGTCATTATACTTATCTGGTGAACATGGTAATTTTGATAAATGGGCCAAGGCACAAAATGAACAATCAACTGTAAATGATAACATAAAAAATGTAATAAAAAACAGCACTAGGGATTAAAACCAGCAAGTGTTACAGAAATTAATATACATATATTGTTTAGTGATGTCATACCCTTCTATTCTGAAGCGCTCTATCAGAAGAAGACACCACCACTTTCGAATGAAAGGCATGTCCATCTGAAAGATGTGTGACCGTGATGAGGAGAATCTTTAGTTCATGATGTATCTATTTTCTTCATGATGAAGAGTGTGCACACAGACAACATGTAAAGTGAGAAATTTCCTTTTACATTTTTTTTTTTTTTAAATCAACTAACCTCCTGGAAGTCAAACCCCACACCTGTCACAATGCAAAGGGTATACTGCAATAGAAAAGATGGAAAACATTTTATTCACAATGCTGACAGAAACTTGTATATACTTGGCAAAAAAAATTTAACCTTATCATAAGCATGAAAATCCTGCAGTCATTTCCTGCAGGTTCTTCTACAATTACCCCATCAACTTCGGTCAGAAATCTTGGTGTAACTTTTGATAACCAGCTGACCTTCAAAGACCACATTGCAAAGACCGCTCGATCTTGCAGGTTTGCATTGCACAACATCAGAAAGATCAGGCCCTTTCTAACAGAGCATGCTGCACAACTTCTTGTCCAGGCCCTTGTCATCTCTAGGCTGGACTACTGCAATGCTCTTCTGGCTGGACTTCCATCAAGCACAATCAAACCTCTACAAATGATTCAGAATGCAGCGGTACGACTGGTCTTCAACGAGCCCAAAAGAGCCCATGTTACACCTCTCTTTATCTCCTTGCACTGGCTACCGGTTGCGGCTCGAATCAAGTTCAAGACATTGATGCTTGCATATAGAACAGCCACAGGCTCAGCACCCGCCTACTTCCACTCACTACTACGAATCTACATTCCCTCCAGAAGTCTGAGATCCGCTAGTGAGCGACGCCTCGTGGTACCATCACAGAGAGGCTCAAAATCACTTTCCAGAACATTCTCGTTCACCACTCCTGGCTGGTGGAACGATCTTCCCACCCCTAAAGGGAAATGCTGAATCCCTGACAATTTTCAAGTGACAGCTGAAAACTCATCTCTTTCGAAGCTACTTGACTTCGGGAGAAGTGAAGTCTAAGAACTTGGTATTACAACCACTTCCTGTGTCTGTTTGCCTCTTTAAGAAGAATCGCTTTATGTATCCCCCAATTGTAAGTCGCTTTGGATAAAAGCGTCTGCTAAATGACTAAATGTAAATGTAAATGTAAATTTCCAAAGGTCTGGCGTGGCAAGCCCTAAAAGCAGCAAAAAAGGTTACATACATGTCAAATAGATGAAAGCCACTGCCACTCGGTTACATTATGACATCTACATGATATGCAGAATATGGGATATAATAATATTTGTTTGGAGCAGCTAAATGTGCATTTATTAATCACCGCAATATCATGCCCAGTCTTTTCAGTCCAGCTCCCAGGATCTATTTTCTGTGCAAGATTTCTACAAAAAAATAATTACAAAAATTAAAAGGATAAGAATGTAGCCAAAATATATCAGTACAAGCTATAAGAACGTAGCCGAAATATATAAGTACAGGCTATAAGAACGTAGCCGAAATATATCAGTACAGGCTATAAGAACGTAGCCAAAGTATAAATTGCTATATGAACATGTCAAACAGTATGCCTCATTTGTGAACCTAAAAATGGCTCTGTACTCAGCATCACCAAATCCAGACTCATGCATTGCGTACTGTGAGTCTAAAATGACCATCTCTCTCATGAGTGGCTTCATGATCTATATATAATGTGGTATTTGGTAAAAGATACACAAAATTTTAAAGTAGGACAAAAAGTAAAGCTGGAATTCAGTTTGAATTTACATGATTTAACAATTACCACTACATGTACTATCTAGAATCTTGTAACAGTACCAATCCCCTTACACAGAGAATGAAGTGTTCTGGCCCATTTGAGTTGGTCCATGCTGGAAACACTAACAAGTCTTTCATGTCAACATCCTCCTAACATTAATCAAATGTCTTGTCATTATGCAGATGTACATTTTTGTAACCACATACATATTTTATTTTATGCATACTCACTGCAAAGTTGACAGCCATGTTTTTTGGTGTACACTTCCATGTAGGAATTACGTACATGTCCTCTCTATATATGTCTTTTCCCTATAGTAAAAAAAATATATATATTGAAAGTCTGTAACTACTTTGAAAGTAGACAATATGAAAGAATACAGTAACATATATATTATGTTTAATTTAGGCTTTAGTCTTGTGTTTATATACATGTTACATACGTGTTGCTGAGCTGCTTCATGAATCAATTTGAAGCAGGCATTCCCAATCTACAAAAAAACAACCAAAGCAAATATAAAACAATCATTAAAAAACGAATACAAGAATGGCTTTTCCCCTCCTATTTTTGACAAACTTCCCACTATGCACCTGGGAATCCATGTTTCTTTGTAACCCTAGGCTCCAAAACTCTTCACGGATCAGACATGTGGGCCCTTCTTTTATAATAATTTCCGCTCCGGGCCGTCTCGTGTCCAGAACATAGCTGAGCTGGAAATAACAATTATTAGTACAGGAGCAAAACACATGGGGGAGGGGGGGTAATCTTTGTTAAAAGCTTCTAAGGTTATTCAGTCAAGAGCAGTTTTCTCTGTGTGTTCAAACATCAAGGACGCAAACAGCAGCATGTTTTTTAGGCTGCTGTCGGATCTAATATACTGATGTACCTCTCATTTCTTGTTCAAATGTTTATGTTTAAATATGCCTCACTTAGACTCACAACTTGACTGTTTACTTTTCCAGCCAGTTGTGGGACCATGTGAAGCTTCCGCAGGACATCACGGGGATCTTTCGTATTGTCCTCGTGGAACCGGTCATACAGAGCATAATGCTCTGCTTAACCAGTTATTGGATGGCCTTCAGGGTCTGGAATCATTTTTTTTACAATTCAGCCAAGGTAGAGAGACCTTCAGTTTCCCCATCTTTGGCTTTGGCTATGTTGTCTGGAGTTGGGGGGCTTAACCGTCCTTCAAAGGGTTTGAAAGGCAACCTTTCTGGTTCTCTAAGGTTCATGTGGGTTGCTAACCCACGTGCAAAGTCATATATGATAACGTTTGGCATGTGCTTCCAGGAAAGCAACATGTCTGCAAAGTCACGTGGGCTTTCTGCTCGAATGTTACACTTTATGCTGTACACAATGTCGGGACGGGCACATAATTACAGCCCAACCACCTGAGATGGGGGGGGGGAGTTGTTTAACCAACTAAAAAGGGGTTCATCCTTACAGAGTACACTGAAAATAAAAGTCAGATAATTAAAGAGAAGCACCTTTGGAAGTTATTCCACCCAGGGGCAAACCCTTCAAAATAATGGCAGCACACACAAAGTAAACTATGTAAAATGTAGCCTACCTGAAGCAGCCCAGATCTTTTGAAAAACCTTGTAGTATGTCTGCCTTGACTTCATTTCATTGGACAATCTCAGAAGGAGGTCAGCTCATGATCCAGACGAATCTAACCCACACTCCTTACATAATTTCCAAACCACCTGAACCTATAAAATAAAACAAATTTAATATATGAGGAGACACATGTTTTCAACAATAATGGATACTAAAAAAGAGAAAGAGATTTTCCTAAGAAAATCTAATGAATTGTGTTTTTACCTTCTGCTTGTATAGTTCCTCTCTCAGGCGGTCTTCTGTGACTGTTATTTCAGAGACCTCGGTCGGTTTTGGAGGATGAACTTTTTGATATTCCGTATTAAGGACATGGTTTGATCTACATGTTTTTGGACCTATCCATAGTGCCCAAAAGTTAAAACTTGGTGGGACTGTAAATTGATTTTTTTGTTGACCTTTGAAAATATCACATCAAATAACAACAAATAACTGTTAAAATAGCTTAATATTTACATAGTGATAAATGTAAACATGTTATGGATGCTATGTCTACAAGTATGGCTTTACCATAATTGATGTTGGTGGCCATGGCTCCAATAGTGATGGGGGCATCAAAGTGCTTTAGGGAAAGCAATAAAAAATGACAACTTGGCAATCCCTCAACCAAGACCACTGACTGGTGGATGGTCTCCACAGTTCACGCAGGAATACTGATAGTCATGTTCTGTAAGAGCTTCAAAGTGAAGATATCCTTGCATAATCGTATCAGCTGAGGGAAACTGCACCCCTGTAGTCCTTTCCAAATACTCCACCCCTCTGCTGACAGCAGTATGGACCTAAGAGAGAAACATAATAATGAAAAACCAATTATACTGTACATTTTTAGCTGTACATTTCCCCCCCAAAAAAGGACTGAATTACAGACTATACTTCAATTAAGCCCCGTTCACACCAAGAACGATAACGATAACTTTAACTATAACTATATTTGCGTCCACACCAACGAATGATAACGGTCTGTTTATTCTAAGCTCACGCGCTGAGGTTTCAAAGTTAAGAAAATGGATGTAGATGACCTGCTGCTGCTATGTTTGACAAAAATATCAAAAGAAAAAGAAAAACAGACACTGTTGGGTACATGAGATCCTTCAAAGACGAGAGGAGTTGGGAGAATCTCACACTCTGATTAGAGAGTTATCGTCTTTTGAAGACAAATTGTATTCATACTTCCGTATACCACTGCCTGGATTCTCACAACCAATCCCCCATGTGATTGTGGCTGATGAGGCCTTCCCACTGTCACAGAATATTATGTGCCCCTTCCCTGGAAAGGATTTAGACGAAGCTAGACGAATATACAACTATAGGCTGTCAAGGGCCAGGAGGGTGGTTAGTGAAGTACACAAGACAAAATCATAATCATAGTTGAATTTAAAAACAAATGACACTGTTAAAAAGTACATACTCTTGATTGATAATACCATATGACGTTAGGCTATGTAGATAATAGTTTGTTTTGTGATAGCTGTTCACGAGTCTCTTGTTTGTCCTGAGCAGTTAAACTGCCCACTGTTCTTAAGAAAAATCCTCCAGGTCCTGCACATTCTTTAGTTTTCCAGCATCTGCATATTTAAACCCTTTTCAGCAAAGACTATGATTTTGAGATCTTTTCACACTGAGGACAATTGAGGGACCAAATTGTATTTTTTTTAAACAGCTATCATTTTTGTTGTGGACTTTTTGTTAATAAGTTAAGTTAACCGAGTTGGAGCCCATAACGTTTGGGGGGGCCCGTACACATTTTTTGTATATGGGCCCAGGGCTGACTCGCTACGCCACTGAAAGAGGATCAATAAAAATTGCATGTTATTTTGTAGTATTGTCCTGAATAAGCTATTTCACTCCACAAGACAAAACA